TGATGATGAGGATGAGGATGATGACGATGATGAGGGTGACGAGGATGATGAGGATGAGGGTGATGATGAGGATGATGACGATGATGAGGGTGACGAGGATGATGAGGAAGAGGGTGATGATGAGGATGAGGATGATGAGGGTGATGAGGATGATGAGGATGAGGGTGATGATGAGGATGAGGATGATGAGGATGATGAGGGTGATGAGGATGATGAGGATGATGAGGATGAGGATGATGATGAGGATGATGAGGATGATGAGGGTGAGGGTGATGATGAGGGTGATGACGATGAGGATGAGGATGAGGAGATGGCTGGTGAAGAGATGGTAGAAGCGCAGGATTAACAGTAAGTGAGTAGCTGGAGGACCGCAGTAAATATACTGTTGGGTTGATGAGTTGATTGAAGAGGAGCAGAGCTGGAGGGAAAACCACAGACAGAGAGACAGACAGGAGAGGGTACATTTAATAAAAACATCATTTTACAACAAGACAAGTATTCGCTCTTTTATACAGAGCTTATTAGCCAATAGAGCTATTAGTAATGTAAGATGTCAGACTGTAGACAAAGATAATGTTATAATATTGAGAGAACTGGACTAATTACAGCAAAGCCAAAATCTAGTGTTTAGTTTTTATTATTTTGTTAACGTTAATATTATATAGAATAAATATTGTTTGTTAATAAATCATTGTGATCTACTCGTTCTTAGTTAACTGTGTTAAAGGAGGGAGGATTGTAGTGGGAGCACTGGTCTCACTGTGGTTTTATATATAGGTTATATAGACCATTATGAAACCTATAATATAATATATACATTTCTTTTGGTTTCTGATTTTTCCTCACAGGAAGTTTTTTAAAAAGAAAAGAGTTTGCTCAACATAAAATGTTATAAAATGTTTAATAATATACACGGTTTCTGTCCACAGGAAGTCCGTCACCGATTGGTCAGTCTGAGCACGCAGCTTCACGCCCTGCAGGTACGACAACAGGAAGTTACTGACGTATTGGAAATGATTGATAATGTTACCTGCCATCTAACTCGCTGACTCCGCCCCCAGGCTGTTGTGATTCGTCAAGACTCGATTCTGGAGCTGTCAGTAAGGACGGGCCTCGCCCCCTCCTCTACTGCAGGCCCCGCCCCCGTCCCCACCGCCGGGCCCCGCCTCAGTCGGTCGATGTCACGGGACACAGGGCTGGACGCCGGCGGGGAGACGGTGCTGCTGCAGCGACAGGTGGAACTCCTGCAGGAGGAAGTGACACGGCTGCGTCTGAGGGGGGAGGAGCCAGGCAGAGAGGGGGTGGAGCCAGGCAACAGGAAGAGGAGTAATGGAGAGACCAGTGATGTCATCAAGGGAGAGCAGGTGGGTCAGGTGGATGATTAACTGAAGGAAGGTAATCCAAGGTAAATTTAGCCAAAAGCTAAGCTAACAGAAGCTAAGCTAAGGTTTCTGTGTCAGCAGGTGAGCAGGAGGCGTGGCAGCAGGGAACTGGAGCCCCGCCCCCTTGCCCCACTGGCCAGCCAGGATCCAGTCGACCAATTAGACGGCGTCCAGGAAGGAAACGAGGAGGAAGAGGAGGAAGTGATGAGGATCTCTCCTCGCTCTGACAGCCCCAGAGGTCAGTTCACTAATCGATAATTGTTATTGATCAATAAAATAATTTTGTAACAACAATGTATTGTGATAAAGATGATAATGTGATAATATCATTGTCACCATGGTAACCTGTGACCTTTGACCTCTCAGATCTGCAAGACATCCCAGAGGAGAGCGAGTGCGGAGCTGACCCCAGTTAACTTCTGCTGATGTCGCCGTGATGTCACCGTGATGTCACTGTGGTGTCACAGCCACTGTCAGACTTTTATCATGGAAGTTGGAGTGGGAGATGATGTCACTTCCTTACAGAAGTGTGTTCGACCAAATGAGACGTTTTTAAAAAGGGGGAGTAAAACCATGTGACCTGTTTACATCATCACGTCAGCTGGAGCCCCGCCCCCAAATGCTAGAGGGCGGGGCATTATATTGGGAGGGCGGGGCTTAAATTGTTTAATAGGAGGAATAGGACACTACATTACCCAGAATGCCTTTGGATATCAACACCTGCAGTCGCCACCTGCTGTTCAGTTGNNGGGGGGGGGGGGGTGTATTTATGTGGTAACGTCAGTAGTTGAATTGTAGAAACTTTGTATGATTTTATTTTCAGAACTAAAGTTTCTGAAACCAAAAACCAGATTTTTAAATTTGGGAACAAAGTTTAAACGTTTACAGGAAGTCCGTTTTCATAGCAGAAGGTTTAGTTGACCTCCATCTGCCTGACAGGAAGACTTTAGGGTGCATGGGGGAGTCATGAGGGTCTGGGGGTCTAGGGTTGTCGGGGGCTGGATTATATATTGTAGTAGACAAGTTTAAAGAAACAGGAAGCTGTTTGCTGTCTGACTGACAGCACTGCTGAAGAGATCCTGTCTGTTAGCATGTTAGCATGTTTCCTTTCTACGTGTATAGAGCTCCGACGTTCCGTCCGACTGGTTGGTCTGAGCCAATCAGATTGTTTTCATTGACATGTTTTTTTAACCAAAACACTTCATTTACAGTGTGATGAAGGACAAGAGCTGCTCTTCATCAAACAATAAAGTTTAAAGTCCAGTTCAGACCAAAGATTCACCGTGAGAACAAACTGTTTTAGAACGTGTCAGCGGTGTGAATGGACCCGTCTCCGGTGGTTGGTTTTAGAACATCCGATCACGCACAGACGCATCGTACAGGTGTGAACGCTTCAAACACGCCTCGGCAAACCTTGAGCTGAAAAATGCTAAATATTTTAATTGAAACAACGATGTGCCACAGGAACACAACGGTTCTGCAGTTGGAATCCGACTTCAGTGGACGCTCTGGTTGAATGTTGCAACCGGGACCTCAGATATTCTCACTTCCTCAGTTCAAATGCCGTTGCTTTGGAGACAATACACCATCTCTCTGTATCGGTCTGAACTGGACTTTAGAAACATCACATCGTTAACTGGATGACTGTTGCCATGGAGACAGTCTCCACTGGCTGAATCATTAAATTAACTGAAATCAAGACGATGATGATGATGACGATGATGATGATGATGATGATGATGATTTAAAGCAGCGGTTTCCAACCTTTTTCTGTCAGTCAGTAAACTTAATTCAAACCACAGATCTGGATGGATTTTGAGCAGATTATTTCCTGTTTAGGAAACTTTTTCTACAAATCTCTGTGTTTGTATGATTTTTAACGATCAGACTCAGGCTTCAATGTTTCCTCGTCCCTTTACTTTTATTCACAGAAGTGAAGCAGATTTAGGTCTACTGTGTATTTTTAAAGTTTTCTTAACGCCTTAAAAGACCTTGCGACCCCCCATGAGGCTTTGGGGACCCCCAGGTTGGGAACCACTGATTTAAAGTGTCAAAGAGTTTAAGTTCAGTATTTCATCAGGGAACAGAAAGACGAACTGAACACTCTTCATCATCCATGTGACTGAAAAACGATCACATGACACAAAAACACCAAAACAGTCTTCAGTTCGTAAGTCTAAAAGTCTAAAAGTGATATTAATGAATAACTTCAAACTAATGAATAAATAAATATTAAACATCATGCTGTATGGAAAGGACTGAAACTAGAGACTGAGACCAGAAACTCTGAGCTCATTAATCAACTTCTCCATAAAACTCCATACTATCAGAGTGGAGCTGCCCCCTGCTGGCTGTTACAGAGAATGCAACTGTATCTTATTATTTACATCTGTTTGTTGTTGATGTTTCAGGTGTTTTTGTATCATGTGATCTGATGAAAATGAAAATATGAAATTTGATGACTTGAATCAGTTTGTTGGTATACTAAAGTTTATCTTTGAGTCTGTTATTGACGACAGCTGATCCAGGATCAGTGGATCAGGGTTCAGACTGGTCTGGAGTCTGCTTTGTGTTTTACTGTAGTTTTAGAAAGTGTGTGTATAAAGATCTGATCAGGAAACTGTAAATGATGTTTGTTGTAAGTTTATTGATCTGACTCATAATTCTAATCAACTGTTTTTATTCAAATCATAAAATATTTCCTGTTTAACTCACATTCAGGATTGATTTCATTCTTTTATCTTCTCCAAGAATATGACTGATGTATTGATCAATGTATTGATCAGCTCAGATCTTTTCTTTGATCAGAAAACAAAGATCAACCTGAGGACATTTTAAATGTTGAATGTCTCCATTCAGACAGATCTGTTGGATGATCACCAATCAATCACATTGATCCCTGAGATAGTGATCAGGAAACCTTACAACGGAAGCAGAAGAGTGTTAAAGGACAATTCCGGCTCTGGGATATGTTTTCATTCTAATCGCACGGACCAGTTTAGCACAAACCGCGAATTACCCGTATAACACTAGTCAACGGGGCCTTTAAGCGTTTATTTCATTTGAAACCTTGTGTACATAGAAAAGGTTAGAGATGATATAAAGATGTGAGATTGTGTCGGGTATCTGCACAGTGATACAAACATTGTTTTTCTACCATGGTACAAAGGTCCGAGGATATCAAAATTAGAGGGATCCCGCCCCCTCAGTCTCGTAGTTAAGGTTGGAGTGTGTACATGGTGTGCGTGGGAGTTGGAATCTGATAAACGTGATGTCTGGTGTGTGTGTGTTATACCACAATTGGACCTGTCATGGACCCTTTAAAATTAATAATGATGCTGGTCAGTTTTATCGTCAGCCATCAAGCAGCGACAAAGTGTCGTACAGTGCTCAGCACACAACAAGATATTGCTAACAATTATTCAGCGTAGCACTGACAGTACTACAGTGCAGACATAAAACTACAATTCGAAATCTAAGGTCTACACAGCTTGCGAACGGTATACAAGTGATTCGAGACTACAGAGCGATGATACATGATGTGAGGTGATCTAGCAAATAATACTCACAGTAACAATATATGAGCACGAGTTAAAAAATAGCGTATCCGGAGAACAGGTGTACAGAAAATCGAGACACAGTGAAACAGTAAGTCCCGTGAACCATTTGCACAGTACGAGCATCACAAACAATACTCAGGGATGTCTTGAAAGCAATACTCCGAGATATCCCACGAATACCAGTTTCCTAGGGTGAACATCACAGCTTTGGACAAAGGTGAGATACTAGCATATTAAAGTCAAGTGAAGACCATGCGTGATATCTGAGGACACAACGTGTTGACACGGAGTTACACGTGTCACGATGTTAATCTGGTACTAGTGCCACTGGTCAAGTCGAGCGATTAAACACAAGTAGGAATCGTATCACTGAACGTAACTAAGGAGGTGCGAGCTGTATCCATCTAGAAGACCTCTAGATTCTACATGAGATAATCTTCACAATGGTGTACAATGCAGAGGTACGTTCAGGTGTATCTTAAGATACACCGATATCTTAACCTTATAGCCCACCGTGTGAGTTTCAACATCTTGTGTATCCTTATTATTTATATGCGTTACTTAAACATAATTGCAAGCTGGTATTGCTGATAGATACAATATACTGTTTACGTGTGATAGAAGTGGCTGGTAATCAGGCGAAAATGAATGCCTGACTACAAAAGGGAGACACCGATACCAGACAATTTGGACCAAAGGATGTTACATTCGGCGAGATTACTTATTATATTACACGAAGGTATCACAAATCAGCCCAGAGATTAAAACAAATGAGTCTCAGCATACTAATAATCTAATATTCAATCTAACCATCTTAGTTTCTCTCTTGCGTGATCATCCATTAGCCTCGCTAAGACAGTTAGCTAATTACATCTCTTCCATAATACTAACAATCTACCTCCACTTCTTAATACACCAGGAGGTGAGGAAGATCCATTAGTAACAACCCTTTAAGTATTCTCCGAGTCCCACATCACAGCATTAACCGCGTGGAACTGAAAATTTTATCATTTTTGCGTTTGATAATCCTCTGGCGGCCTCAGAATGACATCACCAATAACTAATCCCTCATTCTCAACACCGATACACTTTCCTGGATCCTCTCAGCTCTGTCCTCAGCCATACACAGTTCCGCCTGCCTTTGCAGCAATCTTCTTGTATCTCATATCTCCTTCAACAGAGATCAGAGATACGCTGTAATCTCCGAAAAATTTGCCTTCCACTCTATCTGTCTTCTTCTTGGTTGCCAGAGAACATCATAATACAAACCTCAATCAAATCAATCAATCAATCAATCCATTCAGAAACCAATAAATTAATTCAATAGGTGGGGGGGGGGGTGGGGGGGGGTGTTCCTCCCGGTCTGACTGGGAACCTCAATCCATGCTATGCTTACCTAAAACACGCATGATTAGAATTATATTCTTCCACTACTTCAGCCTCACGTATCAAATACCCAGAAGCCCAGGACCTTGTCACAAGAACCCATGTAACTACAAAACACCTGTATCAGAAACCCTCGTACCAGAACCCTGTGAACCTCCAGAAACCCTGATAATTTCAGAAACACGAACCTGTACCCAAGAACGCACTGTAAACCACAGAACCCTGAATACTTACAAGACTCCATCGATACGTCAGAACCCCTGTACTCCAGAACCCTTACTCAGAACCTGTAAACCCTGTCACTCAGAACCCTGTACTCAGTACGCACTATCACACAAACACTATAAAATAACAAATAAAGAGTACATTAAAAAATAATTAACGAAAAAACCTACAACCTCAAGACAAACTCTTCGACAATTACCATTTATAATTCCACTGTACCCTCTTTGCACGTGACTTTTTCCTTTTTTTGTCTAATTCATGAGTTAATATATCTACATACATTACTTATAAAATAGAAATATTTATTTATCTTGTCATATATCCTCACATTACTTCCAATCACTATATAACTTTTTATCCACTCATCTCAATATTTATTCCACACATTCTTATCCTAAAAAATACCAAATTATTTACAATCATCACAAAATTGTCTTCTTCATATTTGTCAGAACAAAGAACCCGGAAACCTGTACTCGAACCCTGTACTCAGAAACCAGAACCCTGTACCCAGAACCATGAACCCCTGTACTCAGAACACTGTAACCCAGACCCTGTACTCAGACCCTGTACCCAGAACGCCTGTACCCAGACCTGTACCCAGAACCCTGTACTCAGAACCTGTACTCAGAACCTGTACTCAGAACCCAGAACCCCTGTACCCAGAACCCTGTACCCTGAAACCATGTACTCAGACCCTGTTACTCCAGAACCCTGTATCAGAACCCTGTACCCAAGAACCCCTTGTACCCTGTACTCAGAACCCGTACCCTGAACACCTGTACCCAGAACCCTGTTACCCAGAACCCTGTACCCTGAACCCTGTACTCAGAACCCAGAACCCTGTACCAGAACCTGTACTCAGACCCTGACTCAGAACCCAGAACCCAGAACCTGTACTAGAACCCTGTACCAGAAACCTGAACCCAGAACCCTGTACCCTGAAACCCTGTACCCTGTACCCTGAACCCTGTACTCAGAACCCTGAACCCTGTACCCAAGTAACGCCTGAACCCAGAACCCTGACCCCTGTACTCAGAACCCTAACCCTGTACTCAAGACCCCTGAACCCTGAACCCTAAACCCAGACGATCATTTACCTGGTATCTGATACTGGGATCAATATTGGATCTGATACCTGATACTGGGATCCAATAATACGAGATAAGTTTGATAATTTGATGAGAACCAGTCCAGACCAGTGAGGAACGTGTACCGTTGTTGTTGTTTAGTAACTGTCAAGTATCTGATCAGTTTCCTCTCCGTGTTGTTGTCATTGATTGCTGTATTGATTAATTTTGAAACATTTTGTTCAGTGGAGCAGTTTTGTTTCAGTCCAGCAGTTTAAATGTCTTTTATCTAAATGTTCACTTCACTGAAACATGATTATTGAATCAGTGATAGTTTTCCTCACTGTGGTCTAACGAATATAAGGTTTAGTGGATAATTAGTCTGATCGATCTGTTTGTGACGGTCTAATGTTGATTCTGTATGATCAATAACTGAATTGATATATTTGTATGAGAAACTAATGAGTTGTATATATTTATGATCAATAATAATCGATTAATTGGATCATTTTACGGTGTCTTTCAGTCTGACGTGTTGTTGTGCTGTTTAGCATGTTAAGGCTCCTGATGCTAACAGCGGACCACCCGCCCTTTTAGCCTGTTAGCTGCTAGCGGAGTTGAGCGTTAACAGAACCAGGTAGCTGTACATGGAGCTCCTTCTCACCCTGCCCGGGTCTTCACAGACACACCTGCGGATCGGATCACTTCCCTGTTAGCAGGAGGCTAGCTGTAGCGGCTAACTGAACGCAGCTAGCGGCTGTCTCAACTCAAAACACTCAATAAAGTTTCTACAGACTGCGGGTGGGGACTCTGTCTGTCCCTGGTCCTGCTCTGGTCCTGCAAATCTGGTCCTGGTCGCGGTTCGGGTTCAGGTCTCCGGCTGCTTCCTGATCAGGACTACACCAAACTCCAGGATACACCCTCTTCCGGGTTAAATTCCCTCCACAGGAAGTGACGCCAAAAACTCATAGGCTCGAAAAACAAATTTTTCCAATAACAATATATAATAAAGTTATTATTATTATTCATTTTATGAATGTAAAATTAAGTAATGAGTAATTCATTCATTTTCTTTAATTCACTTCAATGTAAATGTGTTAGCTAATAAATCTGTAGTCCCTGAGCAGGTTTAACAGATTAGTGCACGATAATATAATATTATACAAGATTATACCTGAACATAATGACATATTGTTCATTGCTGGTGAATTTATTAAGCTCATCGAGAGAATGCCCAAGAGTGTGCAAAGCAGTAATCAAAGCAAAAAGGTGGCAATTTTGAGGAACCTAAAATATAAAACATATTTAGAGTTAATTTCACACTTTTTTTTGTTTACTACATAATTCCCATAATGTGTTCATTCAATATGTTTTGATGCCTTCAGTGAGAATCCTACAATAGTAATAGTCAATGAAAATAAAGAAAAAACATTAAATTAGAAGATGGTCCCAAACTTTTGACTGGTAGTGTAATATACAGTATATATATATACATATAATATCAATACATTATAAATTATAAATGATTAATTATAATGTAAATTAGAAAGCTCTCTGTTCCGTCCATCCAGACCAGACTGGAAGTAAAGATGGTGTCTAATTCCTTCCCGATTATAAACCATCTTTTTTTA